CTGCTTATTCGCCTCTTTGCTCTTGCCCGCGCCTTTCGCCTTATCGGCGCGGCCGACTCCGAGCACATTTACATTTCTAGAGCCTAGCACCGTCGAGGTGTACCGCGCGTTAAAGACAATATTCACCGAATGCCTTGGCTTACTCGCGCGCTCGCCGATCATTTATTCGAATGTGCACTCGTTTCCATCCTTGTGTCCGAATATCGAAATTTGCTTCGATTTGTAATTTGAAAAGCTGCTCAGCTGGATATTCATGTAGATTTTAGGGCTTTATTACGTTGGCTTGACAACGCCCGCGTCGACGATTGCAAGCCAACAGAAAAAGGACGAGCTATGAAAATGACCAAGAAAATAAAAGATTGGCAGGCAATGTACGCCTAACGTAAAAGCTTGAGATAAGAGTGGATGCACACAAGAGTGTGCTTGAGATATGCGTTGGGAAGTGAAAATCGCTGAAGGTAGGTGAAATTGGATAAGAAGATTGAAAAATGAGTCATGTTTCCACCGAGCTCGATCAAAGAATTTATTGAACATTTCGGCCTCCGTCGCAGCTTTTGCTTTTTACAATGATACAAGCTTCCGCATCTCCTTTTTCTCACTATCATCCGAGCACTGCGTCTGCTCCGCTTTATTTTTCTTTATTATTTTTATATTAATGTACACCACAGAGAAAAGCGTAAATTGTCACGTGTTTTTCTCACTTCACCTCTTCCGCGCACTATGGTATCGTCTTGTCTTTGACCAGAGCCTAAAATCATGAATATCCAGAGATAGTTTGTCGAGAATACAATTTTCTTACGAACATAACGACAACTTGCGGTTTTTTTTCAACTATACGTTTGCTCCTTCACCCGCTCAATCGGGCGAGGATGCACTCGTTATATTTTTTTCTCTACGAAGCGCACACATATGTATAAAGAACTACATACGAGAGACACAAGCTCCTGATAAAAATGAGAAACAGTTACAAAGGATTAAGCTTTCACGTCATGTCGCGTGCTTCGAGCATCAGCAAATGCTGTTGAACGTCTTCGTATTTTACTCCTTCCTAGTTATACTTTTCGTAGCTTCAAATTTCAGCTATTACAAAAACATTCGTTTCTTGTTCAGTTTGTCTTTTTGTATACCTTTAATAATCGGTCAACAGCATTCATTGCTGTCGAAAGCAATAATAACAAATAATTTTCACACTCGTTTTCTCACCATGCAGAACATTCTCTCTTTCTCGCTTATTATAAAGAGGAAAAGCTAATGTTCATTGGTTAGATGTATCGTTACGCTATTCAATCTACACACATTTTCCGAATGAATATTAATTTACATTGATAATTTATCATTGCGTCGTCAATAAAATATTAATTTTCACGGTAACAGTCAACATTATGCTTTACACACTCTGTTACCTATCAATTTACTAATTTGCCGTCTAAGCCAATTGTAGTGTCGAATTCTGTGTAAGAGATGAATGCATGAATTGTTACAAAATAAGTTGCATCTGTTACACGGCGATGAGCATTCATTCGGACTGTTTGAACGCCAATGTTCTTGCGGGAAGGAAAGGAAATGTTGTCGCGTTGAAAAAGATCGACATCCGATACAAAAGAAGAGTTCAGCGCACAGAATACGGGCAAAAACTGTTAGGAACGATTGTGGCACTTTTGCTTTCTATGTGTTTGTCACGCACTCTTTCTCACTATTATTTAACTTTTATTGAAAAACAAACGGATTATTAAATGTGCATTGCTCCAAAACCAAGATTTGCCCCGATCACTCTAAAAACTAATGGATACTATAAAAAACTTGTTGAGAACTCTGAAAAACTGTTGCTCTCCGATATTCTTTCGAAATATAATTATACAATATAATATTTATATATTTTTGTTACTCTAGTTACCTAAATATATATAATATATTCATATGTGTTCGTATATCATTTTTATATACCCTTACGTCATAAATTCTCGTGTAGAAATAATTCTGAATCTTATTTTTTGGTTTTCTTAAATTTTATTGTATTTGTATGCTTTTGTCAGCGGTGTCTCTGTATTTTCTTCGTTCCGACGGCTCATTGCACGAAATTTCTTCACATTTTTACATTGATACAAACGCTACTTTACAATGTTTTATCTTCTCACAAGTTTAACATTCAACGAAATGACGCGACGTTTGGGAAATGTTCAAGCCGACCGATTCGTGTACAAAAAGACGAAACGTCGTATGTTGCTTGGATAAGTGCACGGTTACACATCGCTTTTCACATCACAGGCAAAAATATCGAAAATTGTTCATAACTATTGTTTACATTAGATTTTGCTTCTTCCACAGTCGGCTAAGATTTGATGAGGATGGAGAAACTCTAGTTTCGCAGTTATGTATAACTCAAGTCACTATAATTTGATTATTCAAATAAGTGCTGTAACAATCATACCATTGATTTAACTGGAGTCAATGAAATTCAAATTTGATGTGACTCTACTAAAAATTACTCGAAAAATTACAGTCCATTCGATCGCTAAATTATACTCATTGATTTCGATCAAGAGACACTTCAAGATTGAAGAGTTTGTTCCACATCGAAGGCATCGGGAATCAAAATAATTGTTTCAATTAATTGATCGTGATCGTTGATTTGTTTTTAAATCACGAATTATTTAATGTTCATCAGCAGCTATACGTAATTATTACGCATCGAGAAGAATATCATCTCGTGATTTTTCGCTACGCAGAACCGTCGGATACACACGTTTTTTACCTAATGAAAATTTATTAATCAGTTATTAAAACTGTTTATAGCAATACACCTTCAAATTTTCTCTATTTACTCCTTTGCCATTTTTCTCTTATACATTTTGCATAACATTTCACTTTTTCCGCAATATTTTCAACTCTTTTGATTAATGCCAACGAATACTCATTACGTATCTGCTTTTCCTCTAAAATATAAAAAACAAACACATTCCTGGATAGAGTACAACTACTTTGCCTTTGCCTTACGAACAATCTCGCGAACTACACGCAAATAAGAGGAATAGAAGATATGCTTTTTTCATTTTATTATACGAACTGTTCCCATCTTAACCCGTCACAGAAATATGTCTGACTTCATTTTTGCATTCTTTTTCGTTATATTTGCATTAAACTTTGTGATGAGTGTTGCAGATAAATCAACTAATGCAATTGCTATAACACAATAACCGATGAAAAAATATTCTCTTCTATACTTTGCACACATAAAAAGTTGTCAGTAAAATTACTTATTATAATAAGTATTCTATTGGATGATTTACTTAGATGTGGGTTTGGAAAAGAACTTAATTTGTAGCTTTTTGCATCTTTCATTTTATTTTCATTTGGCTATAGTAACAAACCTATTTACGCATGTCAGCTGCAACTGTATCGGATAATACAATACTACGATTGTGATTGAATAAATCAAAGTGTATATCAAATAATCAATAGTCAGAATACTAAAAATTTAAGTCACATACAGAAATTATAAGTATTTCTATGGTAAAAAAAGTGAATGTAAATATCATGTTTCAACAGGTTGATCTACCAGTTGCAGCTGTAATAACTAGTAAATAGGTATTTTACCAGTAGTAATCATTCATATATTTTACTACAAATTCTCACACACTTTCGCACTTAAGAAACTTATCATAGTGAATCCAATATATTAGATATTAAATAATACAATAGAATAACAATATTAATATTGATGATAAGGAATATATTAATTTCAAATAATATAAATTCTAACAAAACACCCTTCACGTAGCATTGTATATACCGTCTATAAGTCCAAATTAACGATTTCCACTTAGTGCTTGAAATTTTATTGTAATAAAATAATTAATATATTGTATACTGAGCTGATTTATAAAAATCGTGAATTCATATTTAAACATCTTTTAATTTTTAATTATGCGCAAGCCACCAAGAATAGATAATAACAATCGTGTATATTTTGAATGAAAACAAATTATTCGCTTTTTATCATCATCATCATTCTAAGGTGTCATATTTCATGATCACCACTTCACTATTCACTCATTTACCTATCAGCAATATTATTAGCAAAACATTTTTACAATCGCTTTAATTTGTTAGATAAATTTGCGCTTCAAAAGCACTATAATTGTCTATTGTTTTAGAGACCTTCAGAAGAGAGAATCATTCTTTTGTGCTAAAACCAAAATCTCATGATTTGTTTCTCTTAAAAGATTTGACAAAAAATTAGCTGGACAAAAAAAAATAAACAGAAGCTTACGTTTTTTTTTGTGAAATAACCCATGCTGGAAAAATTATGATCGCTCATAAATTAAAAAATTGAATTCGAGTCTTAGTATCAAAGTTTACGTCGTCTAATAAATATCACCGAAATTTAAGACTAAGCGAACAAAACAATTAAAAATAAAATCAAGCCATAAAAATTATAATTCTATATTAGAAAAATATTTTTTAATTGCCGAATAATAACTTTTGCGGCAAATATCAACCTGATTAAGATTAAAAATTGATAAAAATAAAAATTTCTCAAGCAAATTGCTAAAAAGGAAAAAAGATGCAATTTCAACATGTAAAGTAAAAGTATGATATCATAGTCTATTTTATATAATTCTCTCTTCTTAAAAATCAAAACTTCAGCATAAAAAGTCTAAGAAAAAATACTAGAAAAAAGGAAAGTAAATTAATTGCCGTTGCTTGTGCTCATTGGGATTTGAAAAATGCATCTTACACATTGCAACCGCTACATAACTGTTTCCTTTAATTTTCCCGCACGTTTTTTTGTCTATTTTTACATCAAGACATGCCTCGTCGCTAAAATGGTCAATGCCCCTGGCGTATTTTTAGTTAAATCTCCATCGTAAGTTCCGACATTCTACGCTATAATCACTATTTGAAAAATATTCCTCCATCATCTATTAATTCAATCACCGATCTTCTTTCGCTTAATGCTATTCGCAAAAAATATTATTTTCTTATGATTTTTTTAAACATTTTCGTTTTTTCTTTTATAAAATTGTCAAATCCACTGAGGGTGCTGTCTTTAATCTTCACTTTTAATTTAGCAACACTTTCGACATTGAATACGATTGAATACGTATTGTTTCGCAGTATAGTACATTACCTAACTAGTGCGGGAAAGTAAACTGTCGTCTCGCGTGAGAAAAGGTACACGAGGTGAGAATCACTTTCTCGAACACGTTAGATGTAGTTTTTCTTCAAAACAAAGTGCGGAAAGTACGAATTTGAGCACACATTTTTCGCCGAGCGTGCAGCAAAGTCGTACTTTCCACACGGCGTGTTGAAATAATAATTTTCGCAGCCGGGTCTCTCGCAAGAAAAAAAACACGCATCGTTCTTCGTCTTTTTTCGAGAAGCAGCCTATAAACGTTCCTTAAATTTAAGTGTTTTTATCCTACACAAGCTTAGTCAAGTCATCCCGGATTCTTGACGAGCTTCTTGCCGCGGTAATCATAGACTCGCCGGCAGAACAACACCATGTCCGGGGGCACCGGTATAGGAGGTTGTCGAGATTCGCGAGGATATTGTTGATCTCCGGGAGGAACAATTAGATTCGGGCTTTCGAGGTTCTCCTCTATCCTACGGATATTCTTGCGATACCTAAAATATTTGAATAAAACATTGTTATGATATTCAAGCAATGGTAGCTATAAAAACTAAACCGAAATTGAACAGCATCTGACCTGCAGTACTCATTGAACGTGAGAATGTAGCATTTGTCCTCGATGGTAGCTACGCTATTGGCATCTCGGTGACGGGAGGCGAATACCTCGTCGTCTGTGTCGTACTCCGTACGGCCTTGCTCGGTATGCTCTGGTCTGTAGTACCATAGCAAGGAGAACATCATTTCGCCTAAACAGTTAGCGCGATCGTTAGTTGAATTGGGAAATTCGGGTATCGAAGGGATGCATGCGCGTTAGTACGAGGAATGCCTGGGAAATGCGTACGCACCATCATCTGGATTCTCCCAAAGCGCAGCGATTTTCGCTACAAACGGCAAGTCTGCCTTTTTCTGGCCACTACGCAGCAGCACGCAGTCCAATGGTCGTAGCATATCGCCGCTCGTGTGCCTCATGCAAGGATAACATTTGCGGATTGCCGACTCTTCGTTCTGGAATTCGAACAAAGTATCAAGTAACACGTCAAAGATATCCAATTAAAATATTAATGAAGATTACTCACGGTAAGGTAAACTTTTGCTTCGAACGGTTCGCCTTCCCAACTCCAGCCGTTACACCATTTAGGCTTTAGAAAAGGCTTTCTAGGCACCATTATGCTCTTACTGACTAGTTCATGATCCTTAGCCTTAAGCGAAAATTCGTTCTTCCCGGCCATCTTCTTACCGCCTTTGCCCCTCTTCTTGCCTTTCGACGACTCTAGTAGTTTACCATTTTTTACAGTGTCCTTTGGCTTTTTTTCCTTACAATTCTTGACAACGAGTACGCTGACGTTGTTGTTCTTCGCTTCATTGATCCCCTTCGCGTCCTTCACTTCTTTAATTTCTTTCAAATCCTGCGCTCTATTTTTACTGTTTTTCGTTTCGACAATTTTGTTAAGGCTTTTCGTTTCTAAAATCTTATTGTTTTTCGTTTCCAGAACGTTATTATTTTTCGATTCTACGGCTTTGCTGTTTTTATTCTCGATAATCTTATTGTTCTTTACGTCTGGAAGCTTGTTATTTACGTTTTTGCCTTCCGCAACTTTGGATTTTGCCTCGAGTAATTTCGCCTTAACTTTGTTTTTCCTTTTACCGTTTTGTACCTTTTTCAATTTAGCATCTACTTTATTAGCTACCTTTACTGGACTACTTGTAAATTCGTTTTTGATCACGGATAATTTATTTTTCGGGGCCCTTTTCAACGTTGTCTGCGACTTTCTTTTCTTCTCGTTATTCTCATCTTTATTATTGGATTTGGTGTTTTTACTTTTCGACGCCTTCGTCGTCGTCATCCATAGGCTCTCCTGGACTACGTGGTTTATCGTTTCCATAATCGAATTTTCGGTGGCCATTACTTTAACGGGGGCACTTTTTGACTTTTTTGGAAGAGGCTCATTGGGATGGGCCGCGTCTGACTTCCTCTTTTGATTTTCCTTTTTCGCCGGCTTCTTTTTCACATTCGACGCTGCTTTTGCCTGAAAGAAACGACGAGTGAGGTTTGTTCGATGGAAATCCAGCTGGTCAGGAGTCACCGAGGAATTGTGACGCGATCGGGATGGCAACCACCAATCAAGTGGTCGCACGTTCGTTCGACGAGATTGACGTGATCTTTGAAAAAACTTACATCGTAGATGGCGTCGTTGGAGCTCTGATCGAGGCCGTTGGTCGCGGGCGGAGCAGCGGAGCTGTCGGCAAGCTCCCTCGGCGAGCCCGACGACAAGGCCCTTTTGTTGGCTTTCTTGGGCTTGTTGACGCCGGGGGGAGCAGCAGCGTCGCCGCGGCAGTCGAGCGATAACTTGCGCTTGCCCGTGAGCGCCGCGGCGACGGCGACGGCGACGGCGACGGAGCCGTCATCGATCGTAGCCGGACAGAACGCCCCGTCCGCCGCGTCCGCGCCGTTCGCCACGAGCTTGGCGTCGTCCGCCTTCCGCGGGTCGGCCAGCTCGTCGGCGGGCTCCTTCTCCGCCACTTGCTCGGCCGCTGCCTCGTAGTGGGGCTTCTGCGCTCTCTGAAAGAGGGCAGGATTAGTGCGGTCGGCCAGGCGGCGCGAGCTGCGGGTGCGGGAGAGTGATGACTCACGACTTTCTTGAACCTGCCCGTGGCCGTCCTGATGGGGCAGACCGGCAGGGAGTGGCGATGGTGCGCGCGCTTCCTCTCGGCGGCGACAGGCTCGACGGCGCCTTCGAGGCCGGCGAACTGCTCGCACTTGATGAGCTGCTCGCACTTGAGGCCCGACTCGCGCTTCACGCGGCAGACGGCGGCCGGCTGCGGCTGGCGCTCGGCGCCGGGCTGCGCGCCGGCCGCAGGCTCGGCCAGGCCGGCCGCGGTGCTGGCGTCTTCGGGGCCGACCAGGCCCTCGCCGAGCGCGCACGACTCGCACTTGACCGAGTCGCCGGCCTCGAGCTTGAGGCGGCCGGCGAGCAGGGCCGCGCCGTCGGCGCCGGCGGCCGGCCCGGGCGGCGAGGCGCTCTGCTCGATCTTCACCTGGCAGTCGCGCTGCTCGGCCGACTGCTGCTGCAGCGGCGGCGGCGGCGGCGGCTGCTGCTGCTGTTGCTGCTGCTGCTGTTGCTGCTGCTGCTGCTGCTGCTGTTGCTGCTGCGGCTGCGGCTGCTGCTGTTGCTGCACCGTCTTGGCTTGCTGCTGCGCGGACGAGGAGGGTGCAGCGGGGGGTTGTGGCGGCGGCGCCGCGGCCTGGGGCTGCTGCTGCGGCTGCTGCTGCTGCTTGTGCTGGCTGCGATGAGCCGGGTTGAGTTGGACGCGATCCGTGTCCCAGGCGTTGGCTCCGTGGGGGGGCGCTAGGCCGGCTAGACCCCTAGCGGGCGAGGGCGGCCCCACCAAGGCGCTGGGTGGCAATGACAGACCGGGCCCCGTCGCTACTGGCGCTCCCTTACCATTACCAATAAGGGGCCCAGTATCCCCGTTTTTTGGACACGTCTGCATTGGGCACGGGCAGCTCTGGTAGCCATGGTCCACGAAGCCACCTCGCGTTGTCGGCTGAGCGTGCATGTAGGCGGGATTGGGCGGCGGTGGCGGCGGCGCAGGCGGCGGCGGGTAGCCGCCGTAGTAGGCGGGCAGGTACTCGCCGGGGGGCGGCTGTTGGTACTCGACCACACCGGGCGAGGCGCCGCTGCCGGCCGGGCCGCCCGGACCCCCGGCCTCCGGGTATGGGTAGTACTGGCGGCGGTACGGCGGCGCCGCATACTTGTGGTAGTAAGGCGGTGGATGCTGGTGCGAGTGCGCGTACGCCGGCGGGTAGCAGAGATCTTGGTACTGCGGCGGCGTCGCGTAGTACTGCGGGCAGTACGCGCGGTAGAAGCCGCCACCTGCAACAGACGCATTTCGCCATTGAGAGCCAGTCGGTCGGCACACTTTTTGCCGCACGGCGCGACTGCGATTATTGGCATTTGGCGCGCCGCTCTATCGTCAGTCCTGTATGCTAAGCTAACGGAGCGAGTGACCGCGCTAACCTACATCGATCTAACTATCGTGCTACGTTTACAATGCGATGCCGAACCGGTCGAACTTGACAAAAACTCTCTCCGACACTTTACGAGCCTGGCGACGCATTAAAAAGGAAAGGAAGTGGAGCGCTGAAAAACGGCACTTTTATTGTGTCTCGAGTGCGGTAAGCGCTCATTGTCTCTCCGCTCGATACCCTCCGTGCGAATTTCAGCGGGGATCGCACTTCATTTCGGCGCGCGCGAGCGCAGAAATTAGACGCGTCACTCGCAGCGTCGCTGTCCGTCGTCGAGCGTCCTATTTCGCAGCCCTCGATGCCATTTCCTCTCGCTCGCGGCCCAACTTGTGCAGTGAAAAAACCAAGTTCACGGTATGCCTCTCTAATAGCTGCGTTTCCAGTCGCCGGCTCTTTCCATGCAGCACAAATTCATAGTCTGACGGCTCCACGCGCTGTCGTATTACGCATTCGTCACGTGGGAGTGCTCTCGTTAAGAAAAATTTCAGGCCCGATATCTCGTAATTATTGAGCGCGATAGACGCAGATTGAGTTTTCATGTGGGTTAATGCCGTTGCAAGCGGGTTACTCCTTTCACCGTTCTTCGCGAATAATACGCATACACGTGCATCCATTTGCGAGGCTCGAAACAACAAAGCTGAATCGATCTCGCTCGAACACCACAATAGCGTGCAGTCCAATGCAAATAGTGCAACCTGTCGATTGATTTCACGCCCACTTATCAGAGACAGAGAGCGCGCGCGCGCGCGCGCGCGAGAGAGAGAGAGAGAGAGAGAGAGAGAGAGAGAGAGAGAGAGAGAGAGAGCGAAGGTGACGTTAGGTTGGTATGCTCACCTGTGCTGCTGGTGCCTGAGGTAGTGGAGGTCGCGACGAGGTCGTCCGAGCCCTCGGAGTTCTGCGGGGGCGTGGGCGTCGACTCGGGCGGCGGTCCCTTTACCGGCGGCAGTGGCGGCGGATGCTGTATCAGCGGACCCGCCGGCTGATAGTATCCTGAAACACGCCAAAACGACCACAACACGTCAGCTTCGTTCCGATCTTTGCAGTGATCATCGCCGTGGTCTTCGCGGTCGATACTCATGCATCGCGAACGCTGATGGGATATCGCTTTGCGCAAGCACTCGGCAAGTTTTCACTCGACGGAAAGGCCACGCTTCGGTAGCCTGATCAACCCACCGGCCGGTCCGCGGCAGTTCTCCGGGCTTCCCCCGCGCGCACAAGCGCCGATCGATCGGTTTGCTCGATCGACCGATCGAACGCGTTCGTCGATTAGCCCGCTAAATGAAATTTCGAGGAAAGCCAGTCGCGCGACTTTCTCCTCGCGGCGACGCGCGAGGTCGGTCGGCGCTCGCACGCCGCTGTACAATCTCTTTCGCGCGTCGTTCGCGCCCAGCGAAACACACCACCAGCGCCGCCATTATGTCCGCGAGGTTTCGCGCGACGGCGACGCGCTTCTTTTTCTCTCTTTCGCGCGCGCTCCTCGTTACTTCGGCGCGCGTGCGCGCCGAGTTGAACCCTCTCCGGTGAGCCGCGCGGCTGGCGAAATATCGCGGACGCACTCCGTTCGAGAGCCGTCCGCGCTCCACCTACGAGCGCTTCGAGAACGCTGTCGCTGGCTGGTGCAAAGGCCGAATCGAGAGATCGCGTCTGCTATTCTGCGGCGGCGTCGCAACGACGAGGCTCCTTTCTACGACGGTGATGTGCCAGTGCAGAATATTAACGTTACGACTAGTGTCATGAAACCATCGCTAATTTGGTTAATTACAGAACGATATACGTGACTAATTGTTATGAGCGGTGCAGGTCGCCGTAGCGACGGCGAACAACGAATTCCAACATGCAATGTCGTGTTTTCTATTCACTTTTTTCTTTTTTTTACAAAAACTATCAATAGAAGCGAGACCTTGGCCTTATTTATTGATCGACTTAGGTCGGAAACGGCGCATGCAAGATAATATTTCATTGCATTCGCTGGCTAAGCGTTTCGAAGCGAGACGATTCCAATATCATTTAGAGCAACTACGCTCGAAACTACGCTTTAGTTCAAATACGCTTATAAGAATTGCAAGGAGAAACGCGTCACGTGAATTAGATTCTGCGATTGAAGAATTCAGCGCAAAATGGCCCAGTGTCGACTGGACGCCAGCCGATGAGGATAGCAAATCTTTTACGCACGATAATCAATGAACAGAAAATTAAACAATCTGGCAAACATACAAAGTATCAAACAATATACGTATAATGATGTAATGGAGGCGAAGATGCGCAGCTAAAACACACCTCGGAGGGCCCTCATCAATGAATTTTTCATGGCATCCATACATAATTTCGCCGAGATTGCAGGTTGGCGAGTCATTAAAGAAATAATCGTACATTGTATCGTAATACGCCTCTCTCCTTGCCCCCTCCTTTCACTCGCTCGCTCGCTCGCTCGCTCTCTTGCAGCTTGCAATCGGCGAAATCCCGTTAGAGTAGGAACGAGGCCCGGGTCGAATGAGCACGAAAAAGGAGGCGCGACGACGACGACGACGAGAAACACGCGCGGACAAGTAACGGACGAGCCTGCCGAAAAAGCGTTCTCGACGACACGCCCGAATTTCAGGCTCGTGGACGAGCAAAGCGCGAAGGTGCATCAAGAGCAGGCTGGCCTTGCCGCAGCGAGGATCGATACAGGATATAGACGCGATTGTCGACGGGTCCGGCGGCGGCTCGACAAGGCAAGCTGAATTATCAGTGCGCGCGCCCACCCGCAACTGGAGCGCGAGAAAGTCTACAATATTGCCGGCGTCTGATGGGCCTTCCGTGCGAACAACGAGCTTTCGAGTGGCACGCGTGACGTCCGGGAAGCGCCCCCCCCCGCCCCCCATTGCAAAACTACGCTCGACGAGCCGCCACAATATCGCTGCCAGAGCTCGCTCGTGCGTTGTTTTTCGATGCTCTGCTGCGTAGCCATTGGCAAGAGAGCCCCGATGCTCGAGGCTGCGATTACGCTCGTTATTTCCCGTGAACTGTATCGAGCCGGGCAATCGAATGGTTTGCTCCTTTTGCGAATCGACCGCGCGAGGATTCTTAGCGAACAACGACTGCAACGAAAGTAGACTAGTGGCCAATGGCGCGAAGCACCGGCAGAGGTGAAGAAACTGTCGGCGGGCACAGAAAGGTCGATCGGCTTGCGCGTCCTTCTCGGGCGTTCGCCTCCTCGTTTGGCTGCCTGCTCCGCGCGCGGACACTCGTCGATCGGATCAAGCGGTTTCGCGACGCTCGAGGCAGCCAACCCAGCGCGGCTACGCAACGCGCGTAAGATCACACGGCTGCTTCCGCTCGCGCGAAAAAGCTCGACCGTCGTACGGGAGCTCGGCTTCGCGGCAGTGACGACGAGAGCCAGATACGAGCGTGGAACAGGCCGATCGATGAAATCGTGCGTCCCTCGAGTTTCGACAGAGCCGAGCCCGCGAGCGCGGCTCGTGTACACGTGCTCGAAGCTGCCTCGGCATAGTAACGGCACATTTCCAACAAGTCTGCCTGTCCAGCCGCGCGGTGTCAATGAATCTTCACTCGACTCGCTAAACTCTCTCTCGCTCTCCCCCCCTTCCCCCATTGTTTTCGCCACACGCCAATCACGCTCCAACAACTATCGCCGTGTACATTCTTTTCTTTTCGTGCCGCTGTGTATGCCTATTTTCCACCTCCCCCTCTCTTCTCTCTCGTCGTTCACTGGCCGAGGCCTAGCCAAGTGTTCGCGATCGACATGCACAGCTGCAACGTTTCAATCGGGCTTTCGCTCTGTTGCTTGTCCATCGAAGCGCTTTTTCCGATTTTCAGCGAAGGCTCCTTCGGGTAATCGTTCCGAAGCAAATGAATGTCATAGTGCAAGCGCACGGATTGCCATCGCTGCGATCGAGCGCGATGAATCGTCGGCTCGTCGCGCGCTCGCGGGCATGCGGCCCGAGAGAGACCGGCCAAGGCCACACGCCGTTCCCGTGCGAGCCGCCGACGGCTGCTCTGCAATCCGTCTGGCCGGGCGACGATGTTTTTCAAGCTAGATAACTCGGCAAGCGGGCAAATCGGCGTTGCCTTTCGCAATTAGCGAGCGGATTGCCGCGACGGCGAATCGACGACAAAAGCGCCAACGGGCAGCTTGCGAGTGCAAAGCCCTATAGTGCGACGTCAGCCGAGAGAGAGAGAGAGATGAGAGAGAGAGAGAGAGAGAGAGAGAGATGAGAGAGAGAGAGAGAGAGAGAGAGAGAGAAGAGAGAGAGAGATGAGAGAGAGAGAGAGAGAGAGAGAGAGAGAGAGGGCTCGACTTACAAAGCAACTACGTGCATTAGCGCGGCAGCTCTCTTGCCTCGCTATTTTCAAAGCTATTAATTGATTAAACTTTCGCCCAACTATCTCCGCGAGCTTTTGTGCTGCTCCGTATTTTGCAGAGCCCGCCAGAGCGAGAGAGAGAGAGAGAGAGAGAGAGAGAGAGAGAGAGAGAGACCTATCATACTCCGGCAGCCGCACCACCACGAGCTTGCAGCTCTTGCCCCCTCCCCTCGCTTCTCGTGTACATGTGCTACGTACCAGCTGCAATCTACTTTGCCTCGTGCGTCGGGGAGCAACGCTGCTACTGCCAACCGGAGAATCGTCCGCACCAAGTTCCTCGTGGCTTTACGGCCGTGCGCTTTGTCCTTTCATTCGATTCGCTTCGACTGCGTCTTTCGCCTTTGCTATCGACCGTCGCGCGGCTTTGCTGCAGTTACGACCTTGAACGATCGTTGCTCGTCGCGAGAACGCAGACTAAACGAAACCACCGGAGAAAGCTAAAGAACAGATTGGGTCTGGGCGTTGCGCGATCACATTATACATTAGCGTACATACTTACAGACGGAGTAGTGCACTAATTGAGAGGCAGCCAGGCAGGCAGGTAGTCAGGCAGCTCGCGCGCGCTCACGTGATACTAACTTTTCTCCAAAGCGACGCGTAATTATTTACGCGTTATGCAAGGCCACTCTGAACGTGCGCGATAGCAGTCGTGTAATCGCGTATAGCTAGCTGGCGCGCTAGTGCAGCGCGCGAGCCTCGCGAGCATTAATGGAATGCGCGACTCGTCCGGCAACGCGTCTCGGCCGGATGACGAAGGGAGAAAAGGATGCGACGCGCCGCGTCGCGCTAATAAAGCGAACCCCCCGCCGGCCTGTCCGCGCGCTCAAGCACCTGAACGACGGCTTTCCGCGATTTCGTCGAGAGCTGCGCGGACAGCTTTTACATATCGCGCGGCCCATTCAGTCAACTTTCTCGCCACCTTTTCTCTTTTATCCGCCTCTGGCCGGCTCCTAGTTTGACAAGCTTATCGTTGCACTGTTATTGAACTTGTACGAGATGCATTGATATTTTTTCGCGTCATTCCTACATTTCAATCCATTCATGCTATTTCAGCAGTAGCTGTCGATTTATGCGAACAAATAAACGTTACTATTATTCATTTATGAGTAAAAAAAATAACAAATAACATGTGATGTGATGAAACGTTAAACATTATTATTTTTAGAAATTGTTTTCGTATAAAAAGTTGATCTTTTCCATGAATTTAAATCTAACCTAGGCAAAGCCAATGTAAAATACAATTTATAATAGATAATTTATTTTTGATAAATAACTAACTACAAAAAGATAACATTGCAAGAGCCCATTCTAAGTTTTATTTAACTGACTCAACTATCAACTACTGGCTAATACACATCTTTGCAATTGCTTATTAGCCCTCGTAAGGGCTTTCAAAAATTGCCGTTAGCCGATGGTATTTCACATCGTCAAGGCGGGGTATTGGTAAAAGTTTTCAACTAGCAATAATCGCACCTCGGTAGAACCTCATTGGTTACGATATCGCCACTGCGCAAAGATACCGAGCACGGCAACCGTACTACGTCTTATTCCCTCAGCCTTTCTAGTTCGCTTTTGGAAAAGCGTCGACACCTAGCGGTCACTCGCAAAAGCTTCATTGGCGCAAA